ATCATCATTTCAGTTACATTATATGACCACAGATTGTAAATTGTAATAATGCCAACTCATCTCAAGACAATGACTGATTTATATATACTGTACAGTTAAATAAACAAATATAAAAGACTGTACCCTCTGATCCATAGACTGTATACAGAATATAATTTAACGAAAACAAAACCAGAAATGACAATTAAGCATGATGCTGGTGGCACAGGGCACAGGGATCGGGTCGCAGGGGGTCTAGATAGAAGGTTTATCTCCGACCATCAGTGATTAAAACAATGGTGCCAGCAACAATACAAATCCTACACGATGTACATGTAGCCACGATTTCTGAAATCAGTCAATCAATCAATCAATCAATCAGTATTATTACCATTATTCGGGTATCACCGAGTTCAAGAATCGGGATTGGTGTAGTATCCCTCGGGATAAAAGAGATTTAGTCGGAGTTGAAAGAAATAATAATGCGGGCCTAGTACTGATTGACAGTAATTCCCCAGAGCCCTGTCCAACTTATAGTCGCCTGTCTTGGGAGATATGGCGTGTTTACGGCATGGGTTGCTGGTATTCTGACCTAAAATCAAAATATCTGTGTCCTTCACATCCAACAACCCGATGGCGGTACGTAAATGTGCATTACCTTAGGGACACACTGGTCTGTTGCACGGCACGTCAGCTGGGACGTGAATACATATCCTTGAATATATCTACCTTTGTATGAAGAGAAATAACAGCGAACCAATTTTTATTTGCACAGGGGACACAGCATAAGGGCGAACACGCTGTTCCTTCTGGCTCATCACATCATATCGGAGTCACATGTCTCAGTCATATACTACAGACCGGTAACATCTTGAACGTAATGGCAAGATTATTGACGACCTGGGTACGATACAAGAAAAATACCATGCAGTGTACATCCAATATTAAAGGGCGGTGGTCGTCGCGCTGCGTCGTGTTCGACATGGGACACATGGCGACGTATACAACGCGTGTAAAATACATTGTTTTGTTAACATGAAATTCGAGCACTTGCTACGCAACGACCACCGCCCTTTAACATTTAATAACGACTTGTTTCATAATTTGACGAACCACCTTGCGTCGGTGAAAGGCCACCATCTTTTTTTTTTTTAGGAATCCCAATCCATATGTTTTAAGGCGACTATTCTTAAACAATACTAGCCCATAGAGTCGTATCAATTTAACATACGTGGTTGTGAGGGCGGTGTCGACGACGGACTGGACGCGGCTTCGGCATATGATAGAGAATAATATTTTATTACGCTCCAGTCTAAGTGTGACACTCGTTTGGTCGTTATATATAAAAATAAATCTCCAATAAAAACAGTCGAGCTCTATTTGGATGAAATGTTTTGATGAGGAGCGGTCTTGAATGATACTGGTACTGCAGCATGGCGCCAACTGTCTCATTACATATTCAAAATAACATGTGACAATGTTTTAAGTTGAAAAGTAACACAACTGTATAATTATTACGATATTATGCATGTCCAATGACTATACCATCAATGGGTGTAGTGCCCCTATCTCATCTAAATTATCCGGTAAGTTTGTCACTGTTAAGCTTTTAACCGCGTATATCGACGAGTGTTATTATAATAAAATTCAAAATAAAATATATAAACCCCAGTGATGTATGTTTGGCACTTTGCAATATTACATATTATTGTGTAGTGTATATGGACATACGTGTGTGTGGGTGTAGGTGTGTGTGTGTGGGGGGGTCAATATATAACTCCATATCATGAATGATATTTGTGTATCAGTATCATAGGACAGCTGTGTCGCTACCATGGTATTATGTGCATTTATTTTATCAAAATCATTTTGTCAGGTAATTGAAATAAAATATTAATAAATGTATTATATATAACAATATTATAGAAAAACGTTTTATTTTATTTATTTCTATCTTTTCCTTCAATTGGATATTATTTTGTTTTGTAAATTGAAAAGGAATATTTCTGTTGATTGCATTTCTTTCTGTAAGCGGCACATATATGAACATTATTTTGAAAATCAACGTTTGGCATGATAATTACCATGTGAGCTTTGAGAAGAGACAGCAGTCAAAACAATACTTAAAACAACATGTCATGGCGTGTTGGTTTTCATTGTATTTGAATTTATTCCGATTTAGATATACCAATATAGAAATCGCCCTGCAAAAAATATCGAGGCAGAGTGATAAGCGTACTTGGTACCAAAGAGATGAAGCCCGCTTGTTTCCATATATAATGTGGCACACAGACAAGCTTGTAAAGTACAGCATATATTTGTGGGCGTGGTTCAGGTATACTTCAGATTGACTTGATTAAGAATCATGTGTCAGTATTATTATGATTTACATGCCCGCAATATATTTTGCTGAACTTAGATAACCCAAATTTGAAGTTAGTTAGGGGACATAATCTCCGTTCACGGTGTTGGGTCGTAGTGTGAACAGGCATCGATTTCCAGGTCGAATTGACAAGTTCACAGATTGAACCTAACACTTCAAGTGTTGATATGTGTAATTAAATTAGTCTATTGTTTCTCGCTCTGGTACACTTGATACCAATGCATATTTAATGTAATTAACCAAGGTAAAACACATACAGTGTACCACTATATTTTATAAAACGTAATACTAGCAGCCTTGCAGCTTATTCGACTGCATTACCATCTGTGTACCGGTTACGCCAGCTGTGCCACTCACCCATTCAGTGTACAATGTAACGCCGTACATTAAATTTAACATAAAATCTATATTATAGTTTAACAGTACTAAACGTCCGTACAATATGGTTCACTGTTTTTCTATTTGCGCAGTACTCCTGAAAAGCATGAATTCAAACAGGCCAGTCAAGAACGCGCCCACGTTAACTTCAATTTGAATGTATAATATTTGTTTTTATATTTACATGCAGTCCCTCCTTGTTCGGTGAAGGTTGGTGCTCTTGAAAAGTTGTTAGCCATGTCAACCCCATCAGTCCCAAAGCGTGCAGTAGCCGTGAAATAAAACGAACGCCACTGCTATGTGTTTACACTCGGTTTAGTTTTACGAAACAAACTTGAATGCACCAATCGTAGAGCGTGTTCTGCATCGAGGATTCAACTAATCGTGACATGTTTATTTCAAAGGTTGTGATTCCTTGTTCACTTTTCAATGGTGATGGTGTCGTATGCTGGTGTCTACGCCATTTTGTTTGTTTGCTTCTGGGGTTACCTATTCAATTTTGTGTTGCAATCAGTTCTGCATAAAATAACACATTTCCGACTTCACAGAGTAATGGACCTAGCCCTAGACAATGTCTTTCTGCTACATATTATGAATGTTTCGATGCTTACTTGAACAAAATTGCTTGCAATGGAATGTTTCGCAAATATAAAAAAACAATGACCTTTGCTCGTTCTAGTCACCTATGTATAGCATAGTATTGCGCTGTTCTTTCAATGGCCAGTAACAAGACAACTATGTCGGTATGTCGCTGACCCTTGCGTTACATCCTACTTAGTACCCAGGTTTTTGGTATAATTGTGTAAACAATGAAATGCGATGGTTCTTAAGATTATTTCGATTCTGCAGGTTCGCAACATTTTTAACGACAAAAAAGTCAAGGGTAAAACCACTTTTAACACAACGACACTTCGTCCGGGTAGCCATGTTGGAATGTGCTGGTCCAGTCAAAAACAGTCATTCCAAACTGTCCATCGTATTGGCTTTAATGCGGACAGTGACAACACAGTTTAGACACAAAACGAGCGTACGTTGGGATAACACTAATAAACCAACCCAACAAATTAAAATTTTGGTCAAACTACCAACATTGTCAAGAAGAAAACAACAAAATGGCTGACAAAGTAGTTAAAATTGTAAATAGGCCACCTAATGACCAGTAAAAGATTCGAAATAGTTATCAGTCGGTTGAGTTTACCAGTGATACGTAACCAGGCAATATGTAGGCATTTTCGCAAACTCCAAGTGTTTGCTTAAGCAATTATATAAGAAATACCCTTCATATTATAAGTTAACTTGTTATTTTATTTAACTATATACGTTCACCACCGCTTTAAGAGAGCCCATACCAAAACGCAGTCAAGCAGAGCCGACTGTGGAAATCACCAAAACACACATTGTACCCATCACCTTTAATTATCAATAAAAGAATCTCCACACCAAAAACACCCGAATAAGATTGCTTGATTTACCGACAATATCTTTGTGACCTGCATACGACATTTTACCGCTATTTTACCGGCATTTGGTTTGCCTCTCCAAGGTGTACCGCGGCGTTATCAGACAGCCACGCCTACACGATACTCCACGATTTACAGGAGCTTTACAGGTGAGTGGCTAAACTTGAAAATCGTTAAAACCCGTCGCGTTTTAAGATTCCAACGAGTTTCGAATTACATAGTGATGACAGTCAGCTTCTAAATACCCAGAAAATCGGCTTGGAAATCCTTAGCTAAAGTTGGTAAAGTGAAATTAGAAGCTCGACCAAAACATACACTGTGTACCATACCAGTGCACTTGAAGGCTGCGATATCTATGCTAACAGAATTATTCATGTGATGTTTTGGTAGTTGTATTAAGACTATCTAGGCTGGTATAGATTGTCACAGATCAGCAGCCATGCTGAACACCTTAGGGACGAACAATCAATGATCCCTGCGATAAATCATTACATCTGTGGGCTAAATCGTAGCATATGGGTTCCGTCCTTTGTTATTACGTCATAATGAATAAATAATGTAGAAAGATATAATTATATTGCAAAGTAGCATTCACAACCGAACCTGTGAATTGATCCCAAATATTGTTTAAGAGCATTTTTGGTCTCACTTAGAGGGTCCAGTAAATTCCCATAGGTGCGTACGCACCCACCCTATTCATTGACGTGCCACGTACCAGGCTTTCAGCCAATCACAGGGAGCTATTAACAAAGATATTAACCCGCACATGGAACCGTATTCTAACAAAACATTTGGTTTGCATTCATCAGCAAGCTAAAGACGGGCATCAACTCATTGCTTCCAACTCTGGCTCTGCACTGTAGTGGGTGAACCGTAGCAAAATGGCAACAGCATATAACTATCTCGTGGTATTATTCGCGTCAACACCGGGCCAGAGAGGACCGTACCTAGGATCTGACGAATGTGAAGTAGTTTTTTTAGTTTGGATGGTCATCGACGTAGAAACGAACAAGGTGGGTTCGATAACACGCTGCCATTCAATGCAGCGAGCGACTCGCCGGTAGCACTTTAATCTATGGGAACGCATGTACACATACAGACTCCGTAACATCATTGAATTGATTGCCGTAGCAAACATTCACGCACGTTTAGCAAAGCACTTGTGCGATTTCCGACTAATGTTAATTTCATCGTGTACATTTCATCAACAGGTTGTTAGCGTAAAACAGTCGTTCGTCAAGGCTGATCATACGGAAGTGTCTGAGGAATACTGTTCGGAACTGGGGATTAAAGAAGAGGCCATTAAAAATGCAGAGCCACTAGAATCAGTCATTCAACAGGTAAGATTCTCGGCTTGTGACGAATAAATGTATAATAATTTACATTCCAGCTGCGCTGTCTACATTCAACATATAAGGGTATTAGAATGAAATATGACCGGGAAGGCATGTCGATGGTGTGTAAATTACGTCGCCGTCTTATCAGATTAGTAAATTTACATTTGCATTAAATGACGGCAATGTCATTGATTTTAAATCATCATTATACAAGCACTTGTTGCTTTCAACGCTGATCGTAAGGTCGATCAACCTCGTTGTTAATAACATCGGGAGAATTGGCACCGGAATTAGATTAAGTACTGTAATCGAGTGAGCCCATTCAAACTACGTCTGTAATGCATATATCTAGTTTCCGTTGTTTTTAACAAGCTTGATAGATTGATTCATGTCGCACGATTCAACGGGGATCATGGTGGTCGTCGCTGTCGTCATAATGCATTCTGTGCGCTACCACGTCTTTGGCGTCATGATATTACCGTGTTTATAGTTGGTATGCATTTCAACCCGTATCTTTCATGGTTTGTTCTATTCTTTCTATAGCTTGATACCCACATACGTAACGAACTGAATTCTACGGAAGGCGCAACGTTCTGTTTCTGCATTGATGGGTCTCTCCACTTACGGCAGTGCCTGCATCCGCAGTGCGCCAATAAGGGAATCGAGTTGCCCGAACATTACTATCAATTTTTCGATATACGTAAGGAATTTCGTCGATTTTACACGCTAGCACCACAAGTTAATTCACTGAAAGAGATGGCAGATCGTATCCTTTTGTGTATTTTTTTTAATATTTTCGCCCAAGTGTGTCAATGATTGTACACAAAGGTCAAAGTGTACAACGAACTAAGTACATGTGTTCGTTAATATCGCTATCATCGCCATGTCATCGCGAGTAGAAGAATTATTAATTTGTTACTTGTGTCGAGATAGCACTAGAATTGAAAAAAATGACCTCTTGGGAAGAGATCAGCCTTGGTTTTGTACTGCCACTAGGCGCAGCAGTGTCGATTTGAAAACAGTGGGCGGTTCACAAGGTTAGCATTCCACTACTGGCGTTACGCTCAGTGTTAAACACGGTGTGAAATTTTGAAATCCGAGAAACACCCTAGTCTTTAGCGCAAATAAAATGCGTATTTTACTTGAAAGGCTCCTACTTCACAGCCATATAAAACATCCATTTATTTATTACCCAGTACCAGACTTCACATTATCTTCACATTATTTATTACCAAAATAGAAAAGATGCGCAACACAATGTTTTACTGCTAACGAACCCCCTAGGCTCATGAGCGACACTATATCACGTTGTTTACATCCCTGCGAAATGACACCAGGTCGAGGCCAAGTAAAGGACAATTTCCGACCGGTGTTGATATTTTTGTTTCATCCCACCCTTTCATTGCTGGTAATCTGACCTGGGTGACGTAGGAATTTTATAATCATTCGCATGTTTGTTGAGTCACTTTATGATAAATACAACAGTTCATTTTCTGTACTGTACGAGTATTGACTAGTATTTCATCTCCCAAAAATAGCGTCCTCCACAGGCCGTTGCAAAAGGTTCTGTAACCAACGTGAAAGCACCCCAGCTTATATACTATACCATTAATCAAATCAATTTGTCTGTCCGTGGTAATGATTTCAAGGTTGTTACTTTTTTTTAAAATTGGGCCATTTTTCAGCTTGGTGGGTGAATTATATAATCCGTAAAAAAATGTGTGGGTGGGCATGAATGGGCAGGTCTACCTCCTTCAACACATACTAATGCGCATTTTCGTACCTATCTCACGGAAACGCGCTGCCATATCTTCTGGTATTTGTATAGATGTAGTCATAAATCGTAGCAAGGATCATTAATTATCCGCCAAACTGGGATGGTCCTTTCAACGGAATGTACCACGAACCCTAGCACTCTGAGAACAGAGACTTCAACCCCTGAAGCAGTTAATAAAAACAGTCAAAAAGTCTAACAGATTAAATGATTTACTCTGCCTTTTGGTTGTTTTTGAGTGACATTGTTTTATTTGGCTGATCATTGCTGAGAAGTCGCAGAGAAAACTGATGATTTTTTTCCCTGCAACAAAACAATGTTTTGGGTATTGGAGGGCATAGGCGAGACTGTTCTATGGAAGGAATTTTTTTAAATGTTGTTATGCATCGTCGCTTAATTCAGTTAACACACAAAGTCTACAAAAGAGCTTAGTGTAGGACTAAAGAATAGGCCACTCGTTTCTACTATTGTAAATTTCCATGGTCTTTCATGGGCGTCCACCAAGTCGAATAGATTTCAATAGATCGCGTACGTCGGGAAATTGGTTATTGATTCATCGATATTTTCCGTGTTTCATTCCAACACACTTTCTCACGAGTGAGAAGACACCATCACCGGGCCATAATGTAGTTCTCAGTTTCAGTTGTATTCAAGTTATATTCGGTGTACTTTTAAACTACCCTGCACATTTAGTGGATGATTTACGCCAAAAAATATCCGTCGGAAGGTGATGGTCCTTTTAGAATGTCATGAGGATAGATTTGGTGGCATCGTGCTTCATTTTAATTTGGCAGCCTCGAGATATCACTCAGTCTGTACCCTTTGTTTAATTGAGGTACAAGTGATTATAATGCTGGATTAAACCGTATTTGTCCAACTATTGTCACCATCGTGCATGGTAATGTACCATATCACCACAGCATGCTTCGACACGAATATCAGAACATTTTATTTATCAGGTGTCCGCTTTCTCTTAACACGACATTTTGTCAAACACCATAACAGAATGGTGGCCCCTTCAATCCATGGATACTAAATACGGCCTCAGCACATTCTATTTTTAACTGACCCATGCACATGTATAATACCCAGACCGTATTTCAATTACAAAATATCATTAATAATTTTGAATGCGCCACAACTAGATAAATATTAACATAAATATTCATATATTTATTTAAAATATAACTGAAATAAAATTGAACAGTAATAGTTTTGTTAATGTCTCCAGTGAACTGATATTTAGTTTTAATTTGGGGTTGATATCGCCCTTGCTCGGGATTTTTTTAGTTGAGAGTGTAGTTATTTCTGTATTTTAAAATCATATTCATTTAACCATATCCTTGTTCATTTATTTTCATGACGTGAAATATTGTCGACACGTATACATACGAAGTAAATGTAAATGTGTTGGCTTCTAGCTTCATCCTGTTATCAAAATAACTCTCTAAATGTCGTACACATTTCAACATGTTTGTACGCATTAATTTGCATATTTTAATTTGTATAATTCAATATAGTATTTGTATTTGAGGCTCTGTTCCTGCGACTTTTGTAAACCACACAATAGCAGCTCAGATTGTTTTGTTGTCATGTTTTTATAATCGTAAATATCATTTTCATTTTAGAATGATTTATATTGCATACAAACTTGATTCATAGGTATCTTTGTACTTGGAGGTTATATGTCAGCACTACATGTATATACTCGGACACTATAAAGCGCGATTTGCGATCCCTGAACCAAAACGAAATCTTATTTGTACAAAGGATAAACTCTCTGGAAAAGACGAGTAACTACGAACAGACCCGTGGTGTTCTACTGTCGTTATTTGTCGTGTATACGAACTGCACACCAATTGTTGACTCGATACCCGCATAAATGACTGCCATAAAGTTGGTGCCAGGCGTGCGCGTTTGTGTCAGTGGCAAATGCATCGCACGACTAAATTCACAACATTCGATAGTTAAACTGTTTGCCAAAAAAATGTCAATAAATTTAAACTAGTTGGGACAATGCCTTGAAATAGATTTTAAAAATATAATTGTCTAAATATTTGATTTACCAATTTGTTAGAGGGAAAAAACAAGTTACAAACATGGTGCAAGTTAAGGCCGGCACAATTTGCTTCAAATGTTAGTACCCGTTCCCCGCCCGTATTTTCTGCAGTGAATGTCTATAAATGTAGCTTTCAATTGTATGCAACTGGTGGCTTCTTATAGCATTTCGACTAATTATGTAATTTAGCTTGAATGCACATCGGACGTTGCAATTTTTACATTTTCGTCAACTGGAAAATAATAAGACTTTTAACCAGTGAACGAAAAATGCGTTTCGGAATATTTTACAATTTATTGTGTCGCATACGTAATTCGGCGTTTTATCAGGCTTGGCATCACCGACTCCACCCTTATGATTCGTCACATCTTTCGGTTATCAGATACGCTACGGCTACAAGACAATTATTAGGCGCATCAATATTTTGTTGCCTTTTCTTTAAAAATCATTCTTTTCTGTCAGTTTCCTTAACACGCATTTTCCTCCAGATTTAAAAATCGATATAACTCCCAACACACGACACGCCACTGGTGACGTCAGAGCAATTGGTCTTCTTGTACAGAGGTTGATATCAGATGGTAAGTTTAACATTCTAACATTTTAATAATTACAATTGGATATCAATTTATCGGGGCATCTTTTTCAGAGGTTAGATAACAAACAAACACACCAAACACCTGTGGACTCCCCAGGATACGCCATATTTAAATAAATCACATGACAGATTGTTGTAGATTCGATTATATTACCAAGAATTTACTATTTTTTCACGCCCCATTCATTTTTCAGAAATAGACAGCAGTTGGGAGGACATGTGTAACATTCAGAAAAATCGGGGCAGTTTGTAACATTGAACTATTGTACAAACAGTAATTGTATGCAGTGACAAACCAGATGTTACAATATACAGAATCGGTATCTCCCGGCTGTTACAAACTGCTCATGCGCAGACATTGTACATTGGGACAGAGGCAATATTATTGGCATATGTATTTTAAAAAATGTCACGAATCAAGCTTTAAAATATGCTGAATAAATATTCACCCATCTACAAACTGACATTTTCGTCCCCAAATTGGAATCTTGCTATCTGTTCATTTATTGCGTTGTCTTTTGTGCTTTTCGGTGCGAATATCGTGAGAATATCAATGGGAAGTGTTTTCATAGCAAACAATTCTAGATTATATTGTAAACTACGTTGAAAACACTGAGTGTCAATTTCTGGTTAACATGGTTAACGATTGAACAAACAAAATTTACAGTGTGTACACAATAAGTGTTAAACATGCCTTGCCATAAACGCATTAACACTGAATGCTGATCAATACGGTTACTAGTATCATGTAGAAAATTGTGAAAAAAAGCAATTTTTTTTAAAAACTTCAACAGCAACCTTCTTTTTTTACTCTGAATTATAATGTTTGAAACAAGAGACCAGCAACAGCACAGAGAACATCATAATAAGAACCTTTGTGGTTCATAAAATTGTGCTTTCAATATAAATATTACTACCTACTGTGTTGGTTTTAGTCCCATTCTTATTCTATTTTGTATACGACTGTTTTCGTGATATTTTGCACAATAGAATCGCCCTTTATTAATCGTTGAACTGTTGTCTTCCCCTTCCCCAGGGCACAAATTTACATCACCAGAAATCATTCAGAGAAAATTTGAGACGGGAACATGGTAAGTTTAGAAACGTGTTTCAAAGTGAGGGGAAAAAATGGGTTCAATGTGGATATGAAGCTTGCACCCACTTTGGGAAAAGTTTATTTCTGTGTAATAATGGTACATGTACTTCAAACCATGGGAGCAGTCAGAGTTTAAATTTAGGACCTGGTCAAAGGTTGGCGATAGCATAAATCTGTGGTATTAACATTATTGGTGTTTAATGAAATAATGCAGCCTCTCCTGTCCATTTGATTTACGTAATTGAATTTATAGTTGGAATATAACAAAGATCAGTGGTTGCCAATTGATTTTCCAGGCACCTGTGTTTCGCATTTGACAATCCGCGATATATTTATCTATCTCGCTAGTCTCTGGCATGTACCCTGACAATGCCGCTGCTAACAGAATGTCCCAATTCGTTGTTATCAAAATGGTCCAGGCCCCAAAGATTAGTTAATAAATCTTTGTTATTCCGTCCATCAGATGATTGAAATGAATCCACATAATATTGTCCATGCATTAGGGCTTGGTCTTCACCACATAGATAGTTTACAATACACAGTGTACGTACAATCGACCTGCAACAATGGCGGGTCGTGTTTGAATTGTTCAACTTGTCATGCTCGCTGAACAACAATGTATTGCTGGTACACGAGCTGAATTCCTCACTTCTGTGCTACCCTGAAAGGGAGGTACCATTACTGAGACTGTCAATGTATTAACTTCCATTAAACACAACATGCACTTCTTGGAAACAAAATAAAATGTGATGACACAAATTTAAAATGCATTTGACGGTAAGAGTCCTGGCTCAAAACTCACTGTCGCTGGTCTCAATGTGTTCTTGGTATCAAGGTGCCAGCATGGAGTCTAGTCGGATTGCATTAACTAATTTCACTCATTTCGTCAACAGCAACAAACATGAAATTGTTGACAACGACCACGTGATTAAAGCCAGGGGGTTGCCATGGCAATCATCTGATAAGGATGTAGCTAAATTTTTCAAGGGACTGGACATTGGAAAGTAAGTAAACATTTCTGTGCCAATGAATGGCCTTGCTTAGACCTTTATATTCCCATGTCAGCTTATTTTGTTTTTTTGTCCTCCCAGGTATGTTCTTAGTTTTTATTTGTCAAAAAATCACTGAAGCTAAAGTATTTGAAAGGTCACTTAGAAAAAAAGCTTTGTCCTCTGTTGTCTGTCTATTTTAGAAACTTGTGACCCATGACGAACTCTTCCCATCTCAGCTGAATTCAAAAGAAAAGAAACAAGAGTTAAAACTCGGTTGATCTCGTCTTGTAGGAAGATACACAAAATTAGCAGACGATTTTTATCGACCAACGGTCAACGTGACAGCTAATTGGTGGAAGGGGGTGCCAGTATTAATTATTGTCGATTTCTAACAACATTTTGATTTAGACTGGTAGAAACACTAAATTCTTGCATAAATTTACAGACCATGCTGGTGACAAATTTACCGATGGTGGTCCACGTCATCGTACTAAATTGCACAGATCTCAAACAAATGTTGCAAATAATCCCACCAAGCTGGGGGAAATAATTTCACGCAGATTTGGCCAGGAAATGTACAACTGAGTAGGCGGATGAACATTTAAAAAACTACACTACCCTCGCCGATTACCCAACCAATTAATTTAAAAAGTAAAATTTATGTTTTTGTAATCGAACATCAATTCTTTTATATTTATCTATTCGTTTTTATTTTTTATCAACTGTTTAATGTTTTTTACGCACTTGATTCCAATAGGGGTGGTGTTGCGTTGTGTTTGAATCCCCAAGGCAGACGCAATGGAGAGGCTTTAGTTCGTTTTACCTGCACAGAGCACCGAGATCTAGCGTTACAGAGGCACAAGCACCACTTGGGGCATCGATACATTGAGGTGAGCTTTGTTTACAGACAAACTAATAATATCGATGCAACAGGCTGCAATCAGATAAAGAACTAATAACGCAAATATAAAAACAGTTCAAATGTGGTTAACTGTTTTATGTTTATACAGTAGTAGAATTATTTTAATTTTAGGTAATTTTATGTTGCAGGAATATTCACCAGGCTAAATGCAAAGTGTACATTGGTTTGTGAAAAAGAAACCAATACATTTTATATTGTTAAATTTGTTTGTTTTGTAGGTTTATAAAGCAACAGGAGAAGAATTTCTCAAGATTGCTGCAGGTGAGATCATTGGATACTTGTTCATCTTGGTGTGCTCTTTAAAATTTTAGGGGACGGCCATTTGAAATCATGGGGGGGGGGGGGGTGAAGATGAAAAATTGCAAGCTAGACACTGCAAAAAAAAGGCACTGCGAACACTCTCTAAGCAACCACGCCATGATTTCAAATTTGAAATAATACACCAAAAAAAAAGTCTGATTTTTTTTTTATGACAGCCATCTAGGTTGGGTTTATTAGGAAATAAAACTAATAAATGTGACATTAAGAGCCCCTTTTACACAATGAATTACAACAATCTGAACAGATTCTTAGCTCTGTAATCTGGGTTGGCTCAAACCCCTGCGCATTATTGGCACCAGGTCTGTTGATCTTTTAACTTCACAAATGATATTACTTGTTATAATGGCAATGAATGCTATTCAAACAATTTCTGTTTAAATGTCAAATTCACCTTCACAATATAACTGTTTTGCCTGGTTGGCTGGCTTGACTCAGGCTGTATAGAAATAAAGCGTTCAGAGTCCAAGGTACTTGACGACCCAACCCAGTGTTATAATCAATTCCCCCTCTAGGCACAAACTCTTCATCTCGTACCCAACCCTAAACATGCTTCTCAAAGGATCAATGGTGGTAGGGCTGGTTTTTCCATCTCTCACTTATTTATTTAGATAATTAGCCCAGAGATAAACAATTGGCAAACCCTAGAACCGAACCCAACATGTCAGTTCTCAGAGTTTTTATTAGATAATAGACAAGGCGGCTTGTACATTGACAAAAGATGCAGTTTTATTCGTTGCTTTAGACACTTGACATAAAGAACAGTCCTCTACTCTCCCATTCAATGACTTGATCAATATAAATCAAATGGCCTGTCAATGGCCCATATCAATAGTGTTATAGACGTACAAGTCTGTATATTCTATTATGTTCTGGGCAGAATCATCAATCAATTGTAAATCACTCTTCAAACTATTTTTTGCTAGTCAATCATTCCAGTGAATTTTTTGTTTCCTTATAAAACAGGTAGTTCTAGCGAAGCAAGTAATTTCCTAGCCAAAGATAATGGACACATCATAGTGAGAATGAGAGGTTTGCCGTTCACAGCAACAGCAAAGGATGTGGTGAGTAGTCAGTTTTTTTACCTTCAAACCAAAGAGATGATACATACTCCTAGTCTCCCTTTCTTCACCATTTAAGAGCATTAATTGTTTTGTTTCTTTTCTCATTGACTTGCCCCCATAAGTTTCCCAATTTATATTTTATACAACATAAAATAAAAAATTTAAATTTAAAACTGATAAAGGCAGATGAGAAGTTGTCACCGGCTATAAATGTTTAAATAAAGTGCAATACAATGTTTGCTAAACTGTTGACCAAACACTAATACACTAACATCAATAGTAATGTAATTTTGCATAGAGTTCGAACTGCCTTTTTTTTTTGAAACTACACTACCTTGTTCACAGACTGTCCCTATTCATAACTTACCACCTTGTTCACAGACTGCCATTTTCATAGCTCACCACCTTGTTCGCAGATTGCCTCATTTCGTAACTCACCACCTTGTTCACAGGCTGTCCCTATTCATAACTTGCTACCTTGTTCACAGACTGCCATTTTCATAGCTCACCACCTTGTTCGCAGATTGCCCCATTTCGTAACTCACCACCTTGTTCACAGACTGCCCCTATTCATAACTTACCACCTTGTTCAGACTGTCATTTTCATAACTCACCTGGCCTGACCTTGTTCACAGACTGCCTTTTCTCAAAATCTCTGTTCACACATTCACCATGGGGTGGCCATGTGGAAAGATCTTTTCATCTGCCACTTGGCTTCTCCAGCCTTACTAAGATGGTAATGTTATTTGTTCTGTCGTTGTTGAAACCAAACTTGCGTTACTGGTGTGTGATTAACAATTGTTTGGAGGAGAGCACTTTAACAACATCAAAAGTATTAAAAAAAAAATGCAACTGTTAATTAAAATAACCCATTATAGCTAGTAATATGCTGAATAATGGTGAAAAAGCTAAAAATATGCAAACAATAATGGCAATATTCTAGTCGCAAATTATAGCTCTGGCCTTGAAACAAGTTTGATTATCATAGCATAAGAATACAACAATTGAACATAACTACAGCCTGCACTAAAAGTACGAGTATGATAAACATTAATCTTTTATTTTAAATATATTTATGCTATTTTTAATTTCTAAAGTGAATTTAATTTTGCCTACCTGCATTAAGACTGCAGAACAGTCGGCATATGGTGAATGCTTTTATACCAAGATCAAATGTCGTTGCCATATGGTTTTTATAGTATTGCCTTGAGGAATTGAGAAAGATGATGGTCCAAAAACTTAAAGTGAATGGGGGAAAACAAAATATGGCAATGTCTTGGGATTGTAAATACAGCAATATTTGAAAAAGTTAAATATTTAGGACATTTAACATGAGTTATAACATCAAATAATAACACTTTAATGATATTTTTAAGTCTTTTTTAATATTTTCTCCCATGGATGAGGTTTAGAATACATATGTACACATGGTTATTTGCAGGGGTTTCTATAATGAGTAGATCCATGTTATCCTAAGTCATTTGCTATTATTTAGAATTTAATTAAATTGCCTACCTAGTTGATTATTAGCTTTTGAAAGTGACAGATTAGTGAGTACACTGTAAGAGACAACCAGCTGCAGTCAGCATAAATTGTTAAGGTAAATAAATTACTGCTCATTTAAAACTATTATTCCATTACCAAACAAATTTTCTTTTTTCAAGCCATATTAAATCAACATTTCAGAAAATATGCATAAACATCTATATAATTGAAATGTTTGGTGTTGCTTTGCATTATAAAGATCATATTACAACATTTAGTCAATGTGGCCTTGAAATATTTCCTGTATATTTGCTAGTTTTTCTGTTAAATTACAATACTCTGTAGCATTGTTTTTTTTCATAACTGGTTAAAATAAACGAGGATTGAAACATGTGTCATTCTAGTATAAATAGTGGGCTTATGTAATGGTTTTGAAAATCATTTAAAACCTTTTCATTTAAGAGCATATTGTATGTCTTTCTATACACTCCTCCAAAAATAGATCTGAGACCTTGATAAATGCCAGTAACTAGTGTATTCATATTTGTACACTGACCTGTGCCAGGTATGACTGAAAAAAGTTAACAAACTCCTTAGCAATTCATGGGTGAACATCATCATGTTTTAGTTTATTGAACAGCAACAATTCAAATGCAGTCTTCATGCTATACACAATCAACAAACAAAAGTGAACCAGTTCCAACAGAAATTTTTTTTTTTCATTATGATTAATTTCAAATGGTAATTCACTAATATTTTGCAGTTTAGTTTCAAGAATCTGTAAATCAAGGTTTTGTGCCTTGGGGGGGTGGGGGGTGGGGTGGGTATAGTTATCCCACAGGTTTCAAAGGAGAATTTTGGTTTATAAAGCACACCTTGTGTTCATGGTATCTACCTTAGAAAGCTCTCATTGATATCAGTGTACAGCCAACACCCTGTCATTTAAATATTTGATCTAAAAATAGGGTTTCAGCTTAGAGTTTAATTCTGGCAGCTCTAACTCCTGGGTAACAATATGGTTACAATATATGAATATCATATGCTAAACACTAGTAAACTGGCTATTAAACAATATATCAATGTAATCATAACAATGAATTCCTCTGCCAATTTAATTACTCTTGATGACGAAAATCATTGACCTTTATTATTTATTCTCCACCATGAGTTATAGAAATGTTCATAGGGTAGGTTGAATGGGGTTTGGAGGAGGGGACCCACACATCCAATTTTTTGCAACATTGAGATTAATAACTTGTTTTATTTCCTCTTGAAAATCTAGATTTTGATTACAATACAAGTATACACATTGGGGAGGGGAAATGTATCAAAAATATTTCATAAATCTTTTTTTTTGAAAACGTCATCGAATATAATTACGTCGTGTTATTGATTAAAACATTATGCAGTAGCAGCAACATGTCACTGCATCTATCTTTAAAATGAGAGCGAGAAAAAGATAGAGAGAGCACACAAAGATGCAAGCTGTGGGCTAATCTATGACAACAAATTCTCTTACAAAACAATGCATAGTAATCCGGTGCATGCTGATATCACATTAAAACCAGAGGTGTGTTATTTTAAAACTAAAGGAGAATATATTTCGTTTTCAGACAAAATCCACAGAATGAATATATACATACACTCTGGCAATTCACTATTATTTCATTTTGTCAAAATGTTTATTTGCTGGATTTGTTGGGATGTGGCAGAACAACAGCTGCCTTCCGTGACGTGATGTGTAATACAGTCATTTGCTCTGTTCAAAAAGTCTGTAACATGTGTTCTATTTTTTCCATTCCCAAATTGTTTATTCAAAGAAAAAAAAATTATAAAATTTATAAAAGGTTGACAAACAGATGTCCAGTGTCGAAAAGAAACTACATTTCTCTGGGCATTGCCATGGAAACATGACTTGCTGTAATGCATCATCTGAATAATGAGATGGTAATTTTGTTGTTCATAAAATTAACATGTTGTTAATTATATCATGAATGTCCTAGGAAATACAATTATGCAACTTTACACATCAACATTTACCATTGTATTTAAGGACTATTTACCTGAAATGTACAGTTTGATTAATCTGAAAATATAAATTGATATAAATGCCAATTTGTTTGAATAATACTGAGGAAATAAAATGAAATATGAATCAAAATGTATTTATTGCCTTTCATATTAGTTTTCAATTTACAACTGAATATTCAATTATTTATTAACACTTTGTTTACAGCTTGTATTTTTCGGTGATGAGTGTCCAGTATCTGGCGCTGAGGAAGGAGTCCTGTTCGTTCGTTATCCAGATGGTCGTTCTACAGGAGATGCCTTTGTGCTTTTCTCTACTGAAGCAAATGCCACATCAGCTTTAGCCAAACACAAAGAAAATCTAGGATCTCGTTATATTGAACTTTTTAGAAGTACTACAGCAGAAGTTCAACAGGTGAGCAAAACAGTTTAACTAAAATCATTGATACTCTGTCTGGTTAGCACAATATGTGATGCTGCTGTGATGAAATTTTGTTTTTTTGTAGCCTTTTGGATTTTCAGTTGTCTTGTTTTCAGTTCATATTACTACATTTGCAAGTTCATATTCAGCCCTATTTACTGGTGTTTCATAATAAAAACATTTTTAACCCTCTATAGTTATTTATAATAGCAGCTGGTGCCCAGGCTGGTAACATTTTAACAAGTTTATTGTCTGTTTTGTCAATTTAAAAAAGTCTAGATACAATAAACATCCATCTACCAAAATCAAACAATCAACCGACTGAGGATTTAAATAATAACTGTATAGATATCATGCAAATGAGAAGATTACAATTTGAGTTTATGGATTTGCTGGCACTAATTTATTCTGACTGGCAAATTTTTTTTTTTCTTTGTACATTATTTTCTTAGTCTCCTCAATATGTGGAGTGAAAAGAAAATACCAGTCAATCTTTGTTATTCTATTCCAACATTATTCTACATTATTTTTAATGATGTATTTATATAGTACCTTCAAAACTACATAGTGCATCAGCTGGTGAAACCCACAGAGTGCTTGATACTTTTATGACAAAACTTTCAGTGGTAAATATAGAGAGAAGAGAATGTTGTCTGTTGGATTAAATACTTATTTTTAAATCTTTTAACCTAATCCTCTTATGCTAAAAGAGGGGTTGTTCATTTTCTCCTGGACAGCCATTCATGTCATGATGGGCTGTCCTAATTTCTATGGCAACAAGGCATCTACAAATGATAACTGTTACAACTGTTGCCGGAGACATCTGCAGGGATTTTCTTCAAGTGAATTACTGATTATGGTGTGAACGAGTGACGTGTACAGTGAAAATTTTGCATACAAATTACTTGGAGCACAGATGTGGTTGTAATTTGCATCCCCTACGCTAGTAGTCATTTTGTTCGTTTTTATCATGGCGTTGGGAGTTTAAGGCGGTGTGATGTTCTGTGCATCTCTGTTCTATTCATCCTCAATCTTTTGATTTCTGCTTGTGACTTTGACTCTGCTTGCTGATGGCTATGTGGCACCATCCAGACCCTCTAGTATGCATTTTACACTATCTTGTCATTCTATGAAATGAGCCGGGAGGACATTCCTGTAAAGTGGACACAGACTGCTATTATTGAACACAATACAAGTGTGTTATGGATTAAACCGCATCTTTTGTTCAAAATCACAAACAGTGTATACTACTACTTCTCATTATATTTTATTTATATCATTTATTTATTTTTCTCAGGTGCTGAGTCGTTACCAACAACATCCTTTGATTCCCAATGGACCCCCACCAACTGGTTCCGTTCCTATACTGCCACAACAGATGATCACCTCTGGATCGGTACGAGACTGTATTCGTATGAGGGGGCTTCCCTTTTCAGCCTCGGTCGAAGATATCATGAAATTTTTGGGAGAATTCGCTCATTATATTCGACCTCATGGTGTACATATGGTACTCAACCAGCAGGTTAGTGATAAAGTTGGTCGATTTTTGTTGAGAAACAGATATACAACGTTGACTCTTTTAATGGATTAGTAATTATGTTGCAATACATGTGAATTCTGAAATGAAGTACTTTATGAAAATTTATATACGATAGTTTCAAAAAAGATCAAAAGTGTAGTTGTATATTTATTAAATCATCAATTTTGAAATGAATTTCTTTCAATGCTCACTGTAAATTTAGTTTATAATAGCAAAAATTACATTTATAAAGCTTTGAAAAAGCAACAAAATTGACTTTATTAGCAAAAACATTTTGTTGGTGGTGGTAGTATTTACAGAATGACTTCCATTTTAATAATTCACTTAAGTGGTGTTCACTAAGGACAACATGCATCTGACCTTCCTCTGCTTTATTTACTTATTCCACTTGACAGGGTCGTCCATCGGGTGATGCATTCATTCAGATGATTTCAGCCGAAAAGGCCTTGCATGCAGCTCAACAATGCCACCGCAAACACATGGGTGAACGCTACATTGAGGTGTTCCAGTGCTCTGGGGATGAAATGAACTTTGTTCTAATGGGCGGTACCCTGAACAGAGGTGGACTGTCTCCACCTGGTGAGTTCACATTCCGTTATACAGATTTAAATGCGTACTGGTAACAGGTGGTTTTACTGTGATGTCGGCTTCTTTTTTGATTATGGCAGATTTAGTTGAATTAAAAAATAAAATTAAGTTCAGGTCTTAAAATTATAACGACCAGTTTGAAGTGTAAATAAGCATGATAATCAAATATATGGCAGCAGTTCGAATTTTACATCTTTCAAGTAAAATATATTTGTACGACTTTCCACATAAAATTTATATAACAAATGACGTTTACATAGAATTATCGTTTTAAATAATACACCTGTAGTATTTTATAATTGTACAATGAACGATGGTGAAAGTAGAAAAATATTTTTTTTTACAGCTGGTGCAATTCCTGCTCAGGCTCAATTCACACCATATCCCGGGACAATACCATCTCCACCAGCGGCCACAGTGATGGCCGGTACATTGCCTATGCCACCAAGACCACCAGCCCCTGCCTATTATGCACCTCCCTTGTATTACTTCCCTAGCCCACCTGTATCACCAACTAGCCAAGCATATTATCAAACGCCTAATGGAGCTGTAGTACGCATGAGGGGTCTGCCGTTCACCACTTCAGTCAATGATATAGTTTCATTCTTTCAAGGATACGGGGTAAGGTTTCCTACTTGATAGTTTAGCAGGATTAGTTGTGTTCGTCAAAACTTTAGAACGAAAGGTGTTTCACTCTCATACATTTCACCAGTGTTAAGTTCAGTAGAGGTGTTCACAAATAACAAACAACTGCTTAATTATGGGCATTGGTAATGGAGTAGCATACTAGTAGGCAGCCATTGCAACTGTTACCATGGATTCTTTTGATTATGGGTAGTTTTGGGTGTCAGTTTTCGGGATTGGGTGTGAAAAATGGAAACTAACATTACATGCAATTTACATGATGGGTGTGGTTTGGGCAAACATTAACGGGTGGGCGGGCCGGGCAGGCAAGAGAAAATGAACACTACTCAATGGAACTATATACATGTGTCAGTATGGAAGTGGAATATCTTTACTACAGTGCAGTAAGTATAAACTGTGGATAATAAACAATCAGATATCATGTTTTTATTGAATTCATTTGAAATCAAGTGTGTAGTTTAACCCGGATATTAGTAATTGAAATGTACACGCTACATGAACAAGTTAAAAATACATTCTTTACAGAGACATCCCTTCAATCTATATATATATATATACCTCAGATATGTCTAAAAATCAACACAAATTTAGTAGAAGAGGTTATTCTGGTGAAAAGGAGGGTTGATGGTCAAATGCGCATAGTCTTCATGTTTACAAACTGTATCATTGACAGAAAACCTAATTTCTCTAAAATTTCTGTACAAAAAGGATTACTACCACCACCAGTATTAGCACTTGTGGTGCAATCCCAGCGTAGAAAGACTGAATGGCAGTTGAATTAGTACCATGCAGGCGACGATGAAGTTGTGCCTCCCATCCATCCATCTATCTATCCGTCCAATACATCCATAATAACAATGGACATTGTCATGGTTACCCAAAATATAGGTAGAGAATGAACGTTCAATGTCTAGGTGTTCTCTTAGCGTTGGCAGTCTGGGGTACTGGTATTAAACAATTAGATCTCTATTGGCTGGTTGGCCAGTTTGGGTTAGGGTGGAGTATTATCTGTGTTGACTCTTTGCTATTGTATGGTGTACAAAGGGATTGTAGATTGGTGGAAGTTTTTTTTTACTCTACCGGGAAATAGCACTCCTAACTTCTTGCATTTTTCTCTTTTCAGAACTGATGTGAAGGGAGGCTTAACTCTCTGCTTTTAGATAAATGTACGTGTCCTAAAACTTTTAATGTGGTTTCTGCACTTTTTTCGACTTTTATATTATCAGCACTAGCATGCACCCCTTATGACTATTTCCCTAGCAGTTAGTGCCTCACCCACTTCAAACTACCCCTCTCCTATAACATATTCTTGTTTCTTTAATACTGGGTACTTTCACTAGATAATATGGTTTTGCACACTTGGTGAGATGGGTGTGTTCAGCTTTAAACACACCCAAAGTGCACGCAACAAATACTAAATCATTGGGTGTTAACTTTCAACAAAGTATGTTCTACATTTAGATTTCAATATTTGTGAGTAGTATTCATTAATGTTGATTTTCTTTCCAGTTTTAGGGTATTTTATTTTTGTTTTATATGGTGTAGCATATGGTGGAAGTGACTCTCCTGATAGGCTTTTTGGTGTCTGTGGTATTGTTGTCTTTGGTATTGGTGACTTTGGTAAAATTGGTGTCATCTCTAATTCACTCTTATAAGCTGTCATCTAATCTCATGGTTTTCTATTTTCTCTTTTAACCAGGTACCCCACCAAAATGTGCAGATCCAGTACACCCCAGACGGGCGACCAAGTGGTGACGCATTAGTCACGTTTCATTCACCGGATCTTGCTATCCGTGCTGTTCACAACAAGAACAGACAACATTTGGGCTCGCGCTATGTGGAGCTCTACATTGCTTGAAACAAAACCACGCTGGGATCAGAGTATAAATAATTTTAGTGTCTTCCATATTTGTAATATTAGATTTCAAAGCAATATAACCTATATAATGCATTTCAAAAGCCATTTAAACCATATCAGTCCCATGTGCCTTGAATATTTTAAGTCCTATGAAAATCCAATTTTACATTGAAATCACTGAATTTTTGTTCATTTTTTAAAAACTATTATCAAAATTTTTTTTAAAAACTTGTAAGCTGTTACCGAGGTGCTCGTATATGATGCGACAATGCAATGTTGCAAAGAGCAACTGTCATCAAAGGGGGGAGGGGGGAAGTTAAGAAATATATTTGAATTATGTCTTCCATTAATTCATCCAGAAGCCAATCTACGTGCAAGTAGAGCATATAATCAAACCTGACCAGCTACAGAAAACATTTTATTTTAAACCAATGCACTTGTACTGCCAACTGCTCTGCAGTTAAATATGTTTAAAAAAATATATATCTAAAATATATAGTCAAAACAGGCAGATAACACAATAAACTGGCAAGCCTTGAATAGACAAATTAATTTTAAGAGAATCGCTGAAAAGATTCAATTCAAAATTGATGATTTAATTAATAATATCTTACAAACCAAAATAACTAGAATTTGCATCTTTTAAAAAGATGCCACAACTAGACTTAGATTGCTAGTTCCTAGACTAATGGCATGTTTTATATTTTAGTTGTGTATATAGTATCTTCTTAATAATTCAATTCAGACACAGTAACTGTTATTTGTTCTGTGCCTGTTTTTATTCAATATTCAGTTGAATATCTTAACCCCGGTAGATGTTTTTTAAATTATTATTTATTATTTTATTGTTTTTGAGAAAAAACAAATAAGAAATTACTATTACGCAGTTTATGAATACATTGTCTAAAAGGTGCATCTATGCAACAGTTTAGATGTTCTGATTTCTGAGTGCTGATCATGTGTCTATGAAAAGTTTTATTTTTGTTTTCTTTAACCTGGAAAAACCACAAATCACAGCTCATAAAACTCCTGATTTGAGTCGATCAGAAAGCTTGGTGCTAACCTATCAGAATAGTCCTTATGTAATACTGTGGCAGGAAAAGTGTCCAGGAGTTAGGTTCATTCTGATTGGTCAATTTGGAACGAGCAGAGCAATGGAAAAAACTGAACCTAAAAAAACTTTTTATTTTCTGTTAATAAATTGAGCATGTACAAGTTTGATTTGAAAGTTTAGCAATTAATAATTTAGTAAATTATTATAAATGAATAACATTTTAAACTTTAATTGTTGTGATGTAGATGTTAAACTTAAATGAAAGTCTTTGTAAAATGATCATTTTTTTTCAAATTTCTTAAAACTACTTTTATTGTCAACAGTATCTGCTGTACTTTCTATGTCCTTATAATCAATATTGAAGTTCATTTTCCCATATTTACATTAAATGTCTGTGCCTTAAAAACATGGAGTAGATTTATTGCAGTTTTTCTGCAAATGAAACTACCAAAAGAATTTGAGAAAAAAGACAAAGAACTGAAGCCGATGCTAAGTGCAATACCAAGTGACAAGTGCCTTAATAAGTGTTAGATTCTTCATACAGAAAGCACATATAATGGTATTATCCACTTTATATTGAAAACAAGAGAGAAAAAATATGAGGAAGTATTTTTTTAAATGTGAAAGCTAGGGCATCAAATAGGATACAGAGTTCAGTAAGTAAGCTCCGAACTGAGCACTATTATTTTACCAAGATGAAATATAAGAGTATATTTGCACTGTATTGCCATTATTATAATATTGACATTTTGTTGTTTGTATTTTTAAAAGAGAAGTAAAGACTGTAATGTAGTCCACAGTTAAATGTGTTATTATGAAATAAAAAACACAGTACTTCCAACAACAATGTCTCTGGTCATGCTATCTTAAATGCTTTATATAGCTAGCTCCTGACAATATCTTGTGTGAATTCCTTGCACTCTCTTGTACTACAAGATATAATAGAATTTGTTCACTTTCCCCCTTGATGGACCAAGCTGCTTACAAGAGTGTGCCTGATTGGTTACCCATTCCAAATACTTTTGTTGGACCAATCAGAGCAGCTTATTAAAGGGTTTGCGAAAGCACATACCAATCTATAGAATTCAATATTAGATTTGTATAGCTGGCATAAAAGTACAAATGTGTATGATATAACCACCACCACCACGATGTTGAACTAGACTATACTATGAAATTGTGCCATTATAGTTTGAAAAGTTCACTCTTCATATGATTTATACAACTCTCTGCTGATCTGTTTAAATCTTTTATAAATGGAGCATTCAAAAACGTGTTTTTTACTGACATTTAGAACCATGCACACATTATCAAAGTACTGGTTAGTTTCCCTAATAAAGTATGAAATGAGTATATCTGAGAGGACCCATTCCAGGATGCCTGCATCATGTATATAGAAACAATGAATACCGGTAGCTCTGTCAAGTTTGACAATAGCAGAGCTAAAACTCCATACAATTTGATAATGATTCATTATCAAAAGATTCAGAATCCATTCTTTATGTGATTTTAAATGTTGAATTGCATTTCATTGCAAAACACAAGTACCAACAACAAAAAATAAGTTTCTTGTTGCCAGGTGCATCAGTCCAAGTTTTTTTTTTTTTAATTTTCATAAAATTTAATGCTACAGTAATTTCAGAATAAAAATAAGTCTTGTCATGACACAGTCTCCATCTTTAATGAAGTTAAATTTGAGTGCATTGTACGCCTTGTGATATGTATATGCAGTCTCTCAAAATGCGTTACATTTTAACAGCTCAGGCAAACCTTTTTGTTATGCAACAGATTTGAACCAAATTCATCAATGAACACATGAAATATGGTTCCACAAAGGCTTAATATTGTTGCATTATTTACTCTGACACTTGTATGACAGGCATGATACCAACTGGAGTCTGTACATGATATTTATGTCTTCATCATTTATCTGACTGCTACAGACAGGATAAAAAAAACTGAAGTCAGTTGCGGCTATGGGTTTTATAAATATGAAAATTCATGACACATTATGCTTATGTATATGCATGACATAATGTCTGATAAAAATGTTGATTTTGATGCATTTTTAGTCTTAAATGGCTGCCATTCGACAATCAAGATATGTCATGTGTACATATTAAGTATAAATGAAATCTGTTCACACATGACTGAGATCAGGTCCTGGAATTATGAAAGTGTGCGATTTTGATGCATTTTTAGCCCTAAGATGGCTGCCATTCGGCCATCTTTAATCGGTTCATGACAAAAATGCTCATGTATATGCATAGCATGATATCTGATCTGCATGTGTGGAGTTTGAACTTTATTGGTCCAGGCATATCATTCTTTAATACAAAATGGTCGCCAGTATCATTTTGAACCCAGTCTGAAAAATTAAATGATGTGAATCAAGGTCAATACATGTTTTCAGACGACTGTATTCAATGGGTTTTAAATTCACTGTTTTATCATTTAGATAATGTGTTCTATGCTCAATTTTACATATTCACTGGGTTTTAAATTAACACATTTTCCAGACAGCAAAATTAAACCCAGTATGTCCGAACATGTCAATTCTTGAAAACAAACTGACCAAGCCATTTTGTTTGGACCTTAAAGTTTACTTTGTTTCTTTCATAGATTGGAAAATTATTAAAACCCAACATTGACCTCTGTATTGTCCAGCAATATATTTGAAAAATGGAAAAAAAAGTTAAAACTGTATAATCAATGACACCAGAATGTTTGGCAAAATTGAGAACTTTCTAAAATGCAACACAATTCTAAAATGAATCCGAACACTTTAAACAATCACTTCAAAAAATAATATATTCAAGATTCATACTTTTATAATATACATACTGCACAGACTGTAGACATCAATGTCATTACAATTCATTACTGGTATAAATTGTCACCCGTGAAACTATGGTAACATCAAAAATTAATTATTCCAATTGTGTCTTTGGAAGCATGCTACTGTATTGTCTCTATTAAAAGTGCATCTAAATAGTTGCATATATTGTATATACTGGGTAATAAAAATATTACTTATTTTGATTAGAGACATGCCTCCTGTCATTTATGTAAACACATGTGTTTCTAACAGAGCAAATACAGTAGTGTAACAAATGTTCTCCAAAGTTGCTAACTGGGTTCTCCACATAAATTGATGTACAGACTGCCACACTTGATAGTTACTCACTGTGTAGTAAACATATGCATCCTGTTTTCACTGGCGTTTAAATTCACTAGTTTAATGCTTTGAGCAATTTCTCTGGGTTTAATAATTATAAATAATTAATGTGTTTACAATATTACCAGTTGATACACAGTTGTTGAAAATTACAATACAGGTAATGAAAGGTGCAACCTTGGTTGTCTTGGCTGTTGTTAGGTCAACTGTTGCATTGTAGGTCAGGGACTTGATGCACCTGTATCACACTGATGTCCACAAGCACTGTGTATTTAGCAATATGCAATGTTAACATGTTTAATATGGAGATTATACAAGCACTTGTTTTATTTCGGAAGTAAATGTGTTTGTTTGTTTTTTGTGCCAATTCAAATTAGTAAAAAGAGTAGTTTAAAGTAATTTATAATACACATTGATATTTGTAATTAACATGCACATGGATATACAATATTATCATATTTCACCTACGGATTTTCTGAAACCAACCTGGACTGTTTTCATAATAATTGTAGGCTTGACCCCCAAAATACAGAAACTTGACAAAATACCTACATAACACAATTCAGCTGTATAGCTCTATAAAATCTGATACAGTTTTGAAATCTTTAATGAACCTTTTATTGAGGAAAAATCATTCAACTCATAAGTGAGCAACACTATCTGGTATATTTATAAATTATAAGCTTCTAACAATTTAGAGACCACCATGTGATCGAGTTGCGTTTATTTTCGTATTTGCTGATCCACATAACACTGAGCCGAAATTACTTTCATGACACCAAATGAATAGCGGGTCAAATAGAGCAATCGTTTTGTTTGTATTCTATGAATTGAGAGAACAAACAAAAAAATGACTGAATGAGAAAGAACATCATGTAAAACATTAATTTAAGATCAAACTACACAAGTATAAGCTTGTAGTTAAAAAAACAAACAAAATAAGTTATTTAAAGCTCTTTTAGCTGCCAAGACGAAAGGCTACTTATAAAGTCACCTCAATGCTCAATAGAATTATGCGTAACACTCTATGACAGTGGTGATAGAAGAGTTTTGCCGGAGGTTATATCGGCTTAGTAATGTGAATGACCTTTATACCTTCGGCCTTTATAACAATTCACTTCTGAGTGGGCAGTGAAATCTACATACAAATACCTATCTCCATAGTAATGCACACATTTTTTCTGTTAATTAGATTTGAATAGACATATAATGATGTTGTGCATAGTTAAATAATAGCCAATGGCTGCACTGGTACTTTGTACTTTAAATGTAGACAGTGTCTAAGTATGTCACTTGGATCACAGCCAACTTAACACCTATAGACTGGGGATCGACAGAAGCAGTTGTTGCTATACCATCACACTGTGGTGGCTTGAAAAACCCGCCCCTTCTAAACAAATTAATAGCATGATAATGAAGCTTTTATTATGTCTGGACAAGCAGAGTTTGTGGTGAAAGAAGTTGAAATGGTTTCAGGGACTCTGATAAATTGCTATCATTCAAGGTTAAAATCGTATTTAAAATGCAGGTACAAACTTCAGTAATAAACCAAGTCAGGGTTAAAGTAATTCAGTGGTTTATTATGAATACGTCAGTCATGTTTGACCCACTGGGGGATAAACAGAGAGCTAATTTAAAGCTGCTCAGTGCATTGATAAAAATCCATCAGTTTGCTCCCCCAATTTTATCATGATCAAACAGGTAAACAAACCATAGTAACCTCAAGTGAGAGTGACAGCCACACGTTTACAAAGTGAAAGAGGCTGGCCATACGCCAATTAACACTTAAGGTTCATGGTCCATATAATATTGCCCAATATGAAGACAACTTACAACAGTTTTATGGTTGAATGCAGGCAGGCCTGGGTTGCATGTATGTACATGCAAGTTGCCTATATCACTTACAAATGAGAGCCAAAGGGTAGGAGTGCTACAGGCCATTACAAAATACAATATACACAATATATTATCTGGAAACAAAATACATTACCAGATAATATAAATTGAAAAGCTTTAATGATCAAACTTTAAAGTAAACAGACCTCAGTAAAACCCTGGACTCCAACCTCTATAAGCCTGTGTGTTATAAAGCCATTTTTTGTTGAAGGTGTGTTTATTTATCATAGCATTCAAACTGAATTGCTCAATTATACAATAATTGAGTCAATGGAAATCATAGAAACATATATCCCCCTAACAAAGCATCATTTGTTACATACAAATGTTTTTTATTATTCTTAAAATGTGTTCCATTTGTTCAAAAATCAATTAAAAAACAAGTTACTTGCAAGTATACATATGTCTAACATACCAGTACTATTGTAGTAGTTATGACCCTTCATTAAAATCCAAATGAGTCTTAATAAGTAGGTTTTCTTCAATCCTTGGTCGATGTATGCAGAAAATATCATATATGAGTAACATGTATGCGCTATGGCATTGTAATTACAACCATCATTCAAAATTTATAAAACATTTTTAAATAAACAATTATCATGCTTTCATGAAATTCACTGTACATGACTTTTCATATCTCACTAAGTAAAATGTTGAGATATGAAGAAATAATGTTACTACTACAGAAACCAGAGTAAAAATGCAAACTTTTACCATTTCCCACGATATTTTTGACTCTTGTTTCTCAGACATCAACTGTCTGGTGGACCGAA